AGCTGTGTCTGTACTGAGTAGTTCGATGGCTCGACTCGACTCTACCTGCTTTTGGTACCTCTTCTTCATCTTCCACTGCAGATAGAGCGCCCTCAATGTAGGCGGAGCTGATCGTCACAGCGACGCTGTTACAGCAGTTGGGAAACATCAGGCGGGAGCTTTACTTTGGTAACGCTTCTCTTATAACAGAGGGTATGAAGGGACAGTGTTTTATTGATACGACTGCACTTTGTCAGTTGACCAATGGCGAGGTTTTGCCATTTTCGAGTGAAAAATAAAGAATTGCGGTCACTATTGATGGTAGCTTGGCTATTTAAAAAGGCTGGGTTTGTGCAGGATGTCCCGGCTGTGTGATAGGATTAAAGCTGCAGTGGGTAACTTTTATAAACAAACTTTTTACTATATCCTGACAGTAGCACATGAGACGGATAATCTGTGATAAAAATCTGGTTCATGTGGCTCATTCTAGTGCTCCGAATGACATTTATAGGAATCCACCACGCCAGAACAAAAACAACCAATCAGAGCAGAGGAAGATATAAAGATGCTTTAGGTTGAAGGCTTGAAAATAGTTGATTGGTGAGTCTCATTATCAGGGTCCCAAAGCGTCTGTATTTGACACCCTGGGAATCAACAAAACTCAACAATCAACTGTCCTTCTCTGCTCTGATTGGTAGTTTTGATTCGGGCCCGGTGGATTCTTGCGTCATTAGGAGCACCAGAACGAGCCAGAGGAACCTGATTCTTTCACAGATTGTCCGTCTCATGTTCTACTGTCAGGATTTAGTGAAAGCTTCAGTAAATATGATAAAAATGTCTTTTTCTAAAAATGACCTACTGCAGCTTTAATCATTTAGTCTTTAAACTGTCAGAACATCTAAACAAATGCCCATCAGAAGCTTCCAGAGCACAAAGTGTTGCCTTCTAGTTGCTTATTTTGTCCCAACAACAATTTAAAAAACCCAACAGGATTCAGTTTATGACGATAAAGTCCTCCCATTGAAGCAGCTACAGCTTACGACAGTTTGCTTCAAGCAGCTAATTGATTATTAAAATAGCTGTCTAATCACTTCCCCTCTAACGCTGTTTATATTTTAATGGATTTATTCGCTGATTGTGGAGACTAAACACTTCCAGTCTTGGCAGATGTGAGCGGGCTCTATGCAGCAGTCAGCTGCTGTTCCATAAAACCCATCAGCGCTGCAGCACAGACTGTCCCGCTCCGCCGGGTGACATCAGCATCTAAATCAGGCCTGTAAATGGGCCAGCGAGGTGCTTCCTTCTCGCCGCGCAGCAGCGGGAGAGTTCTGCAGCACTCCACACACTTCATTACCGCGGTCTGTTGTGCGGTTTGCGACGGAGCCGGAGACGAGGCTGTGGGTGACAGAACTGGCAGACGTGCTCCCGTTAGGCACGCAGAGGCGTAATAACTTGTGTCTGAGCAGGAGAGCTGATGGCATCTGGTTGTGCAGGTGAAAACCTGCCCGGAGGTGATGAGCTGGTTTGGTATTCTCACGGGGGAGTTTGTGTTGCAAAGGGTTTGTTTTGGCCCCCGTTTGAGCACGAACACCTGCTTCTTTCTCCTCATAAAAAACATTTGAGTTGCTCAAGTATTAAACACGTCACAGTTACAAGCTGAAGTGTGGACGTTTTCTCGTGATATGTGGATGAAGTCTGACGGATCTTTGAGGCTTTCTTCCCGTTAATGCTGAGAAAAGATTTGAAGCCTCTTTAAATTCAACGCACGCACGCACGCACGCACACACACACAGTGACATCTGGTGGTGTGAAAAACATACAGCAGCCTGAGGCCAAAACACTGCAAAGCCTCTCTCATTTTAAATATTCAATCGCGTATATGTGCAATAAAAGAAGCCCAGAGTTCCCAAGCGTCCTGGAAAACCTGGAAAAGCTGGAAGTTTAGTGACTAATTCACCAGTCATGGAAACACCTGGAAACGGTTAAAATGAGTAAATATCCTGGAAATAATGGATGTTGTCCTGGTTTGGATTTTAGCCCGTCACTCAGGTCGCCTCCGTAAACCTGGGAGTGTTTGTTGTTTAAAGCTCGACTGTCTGTAGGATAAACTCTGCAGCCTATTCATGATCAAATGACCTGTCACTGTGGTTGACAGGTACATCCACAGTGATGTTAATTTATACTTTAATTTTCTGTAAAATAGAATAAATTCTACTTAATGTGAGCTGTTACTGATGAGCTGTGGTCAAAGTAATGTGGTCAGTTTGCCAGAAACAGCAGCTTTAATGACCGTTAGTGAGCAAGGAAACTCAAGTGATAAAGAGTTGGAACCCTGGAAGCCTTGATTATTAAAGCTACAGCACTCTGCTGCAGTAAAATAATGAGTAAGTAATAATAAGCAAATGCTTTGTCCAATAAGGCTACATATAAGATGTGTGTACCTTCATTTTCAGACGGTTTTAACTTCCTTGTTGAGTCACAATATAAAGGGATATGATTGCAGATTGATATTCACTGATCTATAAACTGATATGACCTCTTGCTCGGCATCAGGCACAGATGTTGCCACACTTTCTCTCGTTATCCCTCCACTGCGTTTATCATCCGACTCACGGTTCAGCTGTGAAACTGTGGCGTTCTCTGAAGCTCCGATAGCGCCTGAAGCTTCAGACGTCATCGGTGACGTAGTTTTCTTCGTCTGTGTTTACTGAAACTTCACAGGAGCTCTGGAGCTTCGCCATCTACTGCAGAGTTTCCTCAAATAGAATATGCAAAAAGTTATTATATATCTTCATCTGAGAGGTTACTTGTTATTTATTTAAAGTCATATTTCCTTGTGTTTTTTCCTTTGTCCTTGTTTTTTTAGGTTGCTTCAAACACTCTGTATCTTTGTTTGACATCCAGTCTGGGTTATTTTGGCTGTTTACTGTTTTTAAACCTACATTTTTCTTCTGTTTGCTGTTTGATTTCCAGCCAGAGCGAATAGACCCCAGCGCGTCCCGGCAAGGCTACGATGTCCGCTCAGATGTTTGGAGTTTGGGAATCACACTGGTGAGTCCTCACTTCACCCTGAGGGTTAACAAATACAAAGATCTGTATGAGATAGTGCCGCCATGTAAGATCCATCACACACTCAGATATTCATTGATCTTTAAAGAGAGAGAAATTATTCAAATGTGTTAAAGTATCTAAAATAAATGTGTTATTGTTCAGTATTTTATTGTAGATGGTTTTTGTGCCCATGTGTCAGGATTCCCACTTGTCCTGGAAAACCTGGAAATTTAGAGACTAGTTTTCCAGTCCTGGAAACACCTGAAATTTGATATCCTGTAATAGTGTTTTAACCCCTCGTTCAGATCACCTACGTAAACCTGGGTGCATGTTTTGTTTGAAACTCAACTGTTAGTAGGATGAGAGGTATAGTAAGGCAAAACCAGTTTTAATATATAATTATATGACTGTTTGGAGCAAATGTATTGTCAAGAAAATTCCTGAAAAATATCCTGGAAAGGTCCTGGAAAATGATTTCTTACATCTCACCTGATTTGTAGAACATCATCGCCCTGTTCTTCTGTGTATATCATGTGTTTCAGTACGAGCTGGCCACCGGGCGGTTTCCGTACCCGAAGTGGAACAGTGTGTTCGACCAGTTGACCCAGGTGGTGAGGGGAGACCCGCCACAGCTCAGCAACTCGGACGAGAGGCGCTTCTCTCCCAAATTCATCTCCTTTGTCAACGTGTGGTAAGGAAACGCTGCAGCAATATGCCACAGTTGTAGACATAAAAAAGACTGTATGTTTCATTAGATAATGTGAGAATCTGGTTGTAATAAAGAGGTTTTCAGTTGTTTCATGGAGCACTGCTGCTTGCTCTCCTGCCCCCCCCCCTGGTGGACAAATGCTCAAACTGCACCCTCCTCCTTTTAACACTGTATTGTTCATCTTTTCTCAAGCCTTACAAAGGATGAGTCAAGAAGGCCAAAGTACAAAGAGCTACTGGTGAGTTCATACTGAGTCATCATGAATGCTTCTGCCCTCTCTGTGTTCACTCCTAAAGCACCAAATAACCTGTAGTTTTATTTTATAGGAGTTGTTATTGATGTACACATTTTTTCCTCCTCCCCCTCCAGAAAGATCCGTTCATCCAGATGTACGAGGAGCGCACGGTGGACGTAGCCGGTTACGTCTGCAGGCTCTTGGATCAGATGCCCGCGTCCCCCAGCTCACCTATGTATATGGACTGATAGCAGGACAGTAATACAACATATACACCAGTCTGCAACAATAAAGGCATAAAAAAAAAAGACAACAACGTAAACAAAACAAATCCTCTTGTAAATTTGCTTGGTCCCCTTATTGCAGTGTTAAAATAGAATTGTAAAGCCTAAAAAATAAAATAAAAAAAACCACCACTTGCAATAAAAGTGGTGTCTTTCAGTCATGCCTGTATAATATATCAACGTTAAACACTTCTGTTTCTCTCTCGTGCACACACAGACACACAGTCATGTAAGTATAATAGCAGCTGAATCAATCAATCATGGTCTTGACTCATCTCGATGAGGACGCATCTCAGTGGTTAGTACAGTGATTTAAGAAAAAAACACACAAAAAAAACCAGAAAATAACCTGGAACTTGTATTTATAGAACCAGAATCATGTGGAGTATTTGATTTGGAGATTCTTCAGCATACTGGAATCACGCTCTTTGTGAATTGTCCCACCTCTTCCATGTACGTTAAACTGAAAGCATTGTGTTTGGTATCTTAATGGAACTTTGCTTCTCTGGGTATAAAAAGCAGTTTTAAAAGTGTCGGTGGTCAGAATCATGTTAGACCTGCAGTCCAGTCGGTGCTGAGAGGCCACCGTCCTCGCCGTGCAACCGACTATATGCTGATATATGAATAAAGAAAGAAAGAGAGGAGTGTGTCCTGTGTCTTTTTTTGAGTGGCTTCAACATAAATACGTTGTGTTTCTGTGCTAGTACTAATGTTTTTTCCTGCTAATTTGTGGATGAATGAACGTTCCTGAGCGTTGTTACTGCTGTTTCTGCATCAGGTCATATTTTATGTTCTTAAAACAGCCATTTTTAACAGATATACGTTTAACTAATCACATATTTTTTGTATTAATGTTTTTGAAAACACATTAAATCCTTTATAAATACGACCTTTAAGAGGAGTTACTGTAACAGGACGCCTCATTGTTTTTATTTTCTCTCATCAGTAAAATAATACACATTTTAAATAATAAATGAAACAAAATAAAGGTTGTTAATAAAGAGGTTAACCGGCTCATGTTTTCTCTCAGTAAAACTCACTTTGAGACTAAATATGCATTTAGGAAAAGTTAAGCCTCTTGTTTTTTACCTCCTCAGTAAAACAAAGCACACATTTTAAATACCTAATAAAAGAGAAAAAAATAAACTCTGGCGACCCAAACAGTCTCTGAGAATGAATAGAGAGAGAAATAATAAAACAATTGAATGTTTTCTGACGCCACCTTTAGGTATTTCTATTCAATACTTTATTAATGTGCTACAATAATGTAATACTTTTGAGTTAAATATCTGAATTTGTGGGCTTTTCCAAGCAAATATGTGATTGTTTGCAATTAAATCAGCATATATTTCCTCCCTCATGCCACACCATGAATATTTCTCTAGATGCACCTGGAAGCAGTCAACAATTAAAGAAAAACAGTTTGTATGTATGAGTGTTAATTCGCTTTTTACTGTAAACTGCTGTACGACGAGACATTTGACTCCAGATATCTGAGGAGAACAGGTATGATTGATGTTTTTAATATATTTAGTTACTTTGCAGATTTAGATTATTAATAGAAATGTGAGTCAACTAATATGTATTAAACTACCCAGCAGTATATAAAGTTCAATTAAAAGTAGCTCTGCATTTACCAGCTGTGACATTATGATGCAGTAATGTGTATGATTCTGAAAAGGGTCATTCTGTGCACATAAAAACACACATTTATTGTCTTAACATAGACTGTAGGATGCAGGAGATACTTAAAAATTATATTTTATTTTTTGCGTATTCATATAATTTCAAGTGTCATCTCCTGCATAGGTCACAGCCTGTTTCAAGACATTTTTTATGAACTCAGTGGATCACTTTTGGGATATTGGGAGGTTTTTAAAATCCATAAATCTCCTTATAATAATATCTGTATAATAAGTTATGTTTATACAGTTATGTACATAACACCTTGCACAGGCTGAATATATGACACATGTTTACATTATATGAAAATGTATAATATCTATGTGTATACATATATATCTGTTCAGTCATCATATTATATATACATATTATTATTATTTATATTATATATTATTATTAATATTATCATTATATACTGTTATTAACAATAACACTACCATCATGTCATCAGTACTATTACCACCATCTTGCAACTACAACTCTTTGCACCTTACCCTACCTATTTTTTTTTAAAATCTTTTCTATCTAAGTATTTCATTCTATGTATTTTATTGTATTTTAATGTACCTGGCTGCTATGACGACCCAATTTCCCAAAATCCTATCTATCTATCTATCTATCTATCTATCTATCTATCTATCTATCTATCTACTATCTATCTTCTATATCTATCTATCGTAATTCATAAAAATGTATTGTGTTTAATCATCTCTATCATTGCTTATACCCTCTTCTAATGAATACGCTGATTTCCAAGTGTTATTTGATATCTGAGAGTCTTTATAAGCTCCGTGTGTTATATCATTCAGGTCTTTTATTTTGTAGTAGTTGTGTTAAACCCTCTGCGACGCGTTCTATCCCGCGCCCCTCTCTCACGCGCCGCGTGTGATTGGTCCACAGACCTGCTAAGAACTCCCAACCGCCAATGAGCGCTCGAGAATCGCGAACGTCATCATCATCATGATACGGAAGTAATGTCCCATGTGTCAACAGCCTGTGAAGCGCGTCCAAGCTGCTTTGAGGCGAAATCTGTGAATGAGGCGCGCGTGGATGTAGAAACAGCGAACCGAGCGAGTCCACGCGCTACTAACCGGGGGCACGTGTTTATTATGTAACAGGGTCCACCTGAGCTCCGCCTCCACGCTGCTAGGTACACGGCGCTCTGTCTGCCCGCTGTGTGTCTCCCTCCACCGGACTTGTTTCCAGTTGTTCCTCCGCGCAAATGTTCGACCCACGGTACTCCGGAGAGGCTGCACCGCCGGGGGGAGAGAGCCCCAACAGGAGATCCTCTGGCGGCGGGTGAAGAGCAAGAGAGAACGGAAGCAGCGGGTGAGTATCACGGGCCGGTCCACCGTGTACCTGCAGGTGGTCGGTGTCCGGGAGCAGAGAACAGTGCTGCGTCACTGTACGTCGTTTCCCGAGTACAACAGGTAATACGTGTTCCTTCATCCAGGATAACAAAAACTGATTTTTAATTCAGCTCATGAAAAGATCTCTTCGTAACAACCTTTTTAATAGACTTCGCTTTACCTTTTTTTTTCAGCCTGCTAGTGTTTGTGTGTTGTGTTATGTCTTGTTTTTACTTTTCTCTCTTGTTCATGTATTTATTTATATTAATTTTATATTATCAGTTATATATATTTAATTTATATTATATTTTTCATACTGTCTCATACTGTTTTTTTCTCTATCCACTTTGCTTGCTGTAAGATTGGAATTTCCCCGATTTGGCAATATTAAATGAAATCTTATCTTATCTTATGTGGTCCTTTTAGTGTTATTCGTTACTCCAACCTCTTGACTTCTGTCCTATTTATTTATTCTATTTCCTCTCATTTGCCTACTTCATTTTATCCATCGTCTATTTGAATTCACCTAACTCTTAATGTGGGTATCATTACCTCTGTTATTTCAACTATTTGATGCAATTATTTGATCCGTGGCCTTTGTAATGTACAATTGTACTTCTTGTTGTCTGTCAAGCACTTTGGAGAGCTATGTGTTTTAAAAAGGTAAATACAGAAATTATTTTAGATTATTATTATTTTAGATCTATTATAATGTCTGTGCACATCTAAACCCAGGTTTGTTACTTTGAACTCTGTCCCCGTCAGTGTTAGCCATACAGTTCAAACCTAAATCAGAATCGAATTTTTGTTATTTCCTCAAGTAGTTTTTACGCTAACGAGAATGGACCTGTGCAGTTAGTGCAATAAAAGTATACACAGTATACAATACCAATAGACAAATTTACATTATTCAAATTCACCAAAAATCCAACAGAAAAATAACCACAGTTTAAAATAGAAATAGATAAAAGATAAAAGAAAGATAAGAAAGAAAGCTGTGCAGAAAGAAGGTGGTGCATTAATGAGGGGATGTACTTTATATACAGGGTGGGTCTAAGAGCCAGTGTGCAGTGGGAAATCCGGGCCTGTGTTAAGAGAGCCAGCTGCAGACGGGAAGAAACAGCCTTTTTAATGGCGAGACGTTTAGCCTGTGGCCGCAGCCTCCTGCCAGAGGGAAGTATCTCAAAGAGTTGAACAAATGAAGCTACTGTCCTTTAAAGATGGTAATGAGTCGGGTTTTAACTGCAGTGATGTACAAGTGTACTCCAGGGTGTGTCGGTACACTGTGACATAACCAGTGGGCGTGGTTCCAGCTGTTTATTTACTGTTTATTTACTGTTTACCTTTTACAAACGCTCCTCTCTGCTGCAGATATCTGTTCAACTGTGGCGAGGGAACTCAGAGACTCATGCACGAGCACAAGTAAGCTGGTTTTTAAATCAATACATCTCCTTATAATAATAATAACTGTATAATAAAAGCAGAATAATGTACATCATTTATAAAAATGTTATGTTTTTATATCATCCTATCTTTATTTATACCCTCTTCAGCTGGTTTAAATTGTTAGAACCGGAGTCCGTCTGATGGACAAAGAGAATGGATATTTGTGTGTTTTTCTCCGACAGACTGAAAGCTTCCCATTTGGACAACATCTTCCTGACCAGGCTGAGCTGGATGAACGTGGGAGGTTTATCAGGTCGGTAACAGCCAAAGAGAGCCTATAATCAATAGTTTAATAATACAAACATATAGACAATTCAGGCAGCTGGATTTACAGTAAAAAGCTCTAACAATCCTTTCCACACTACCCGAAATGGAGCATTTAGCTGCAGCTAAAGAGACATATTTCCCCTCAGGTGTTGGGACCAAAAACAGAGCTAAAAGATGGCGAATATTGGACTTTCAGTTTAACTCCAGACTAACGATAATGTCGCTCTGTAACTGCAACAACTTCAGCTCGAGCACTTTTAATTTAACTGAATATCTGTGGAGAGGAGGTCTGATTCATAAAGTGTTACCATGCAGCTTGTGGGATAGTAAGAGGACATACTAGGACAAAAGTATGTGGACACTTTTACATTATAGTCATCTGTGATATGACATTAATCTGCTGCTTCTAGATGTTGTAGATGTTTAACTCATTCATATACAGCTGACACTGGTATGGAAACTACACAGTCGTGGCTGGAATAGGTAGAACAGGTACATAACTACAGTCAAAATGCTATACATCATAAAAAAGTGCATCTTTTTTTACTGATTTCTTTTACAGAAGTTTAAAAACAATATTGTGAAATATTTTTCAAGTGGCCACAATTGTTACCAACACTGGGGGGAGACAGAGGCTGTATGTTTTATGTATATAATGTATGTATATATACTTACATACTGTTGTCAGGTGATGATATATCTGTGTTGGAAAAGTTGGAAAGTTGAAGGAAAAAAAAAAATCTGTTTTTGCGGGTTTAAATTGAAAAGTTTGACATTTTTTATAGAATTCTTTTCTACAATCAATACAACAGGAACTATAATCTTGATACAAGTATAATATTTGAGGATTCAGAATGAAATCTGTTCAGACCACATATAAAACATGAACAGATTCATATTATATTTATATTATAAAACAAACAAATGTCTCAGTTTAACAGTTAATAATAGACTTTGATTCCTATTGAACTGTACTGACACATTTATTGAGCTTATAATCGAATGCGTTGATATATTCTCTCTTTTAGCCGTACGGATGTTTGTTTGTGGATGTTTGGGTCAATCAGATGGATGTCAGAGATTAAAGATATTTGATTTCTCCTCAGGGATGATATTAACCTTGAAGGACATCGGTGTGCCAGAGTGTGTTCTCTCTGGACCTCCCCAGCTGGTGAGAAACTCCATCATACAGCACGAACAACCTTTTTTAATTTAACCTTTATTCACTTAACATAAACTGTCTGTTCTTCTCCATCAAAGGAGAGTTATCTGGACGCCATCAGGATATTTTCTGGACCTCTGGAAGACATAAAGCTGTGTATGTTGAATTTACTGAGCTGGATTTTCTAACTGCAGTATTGTTTGCGTAATATCAGTCTTTTGATATTTACTGTTATCATACGCTTGTAGCGGTGCGACCGTACACCGCAGAGCCGTACACGGACGAGACGATGACGGTTTATCAAGTGCCGATATTTGGTGAGTTCAAATATTTTCTTTTAAGAGTCTTTCCTGCTTTTTGATATTCACTGACTCTCTTCTGTGGTCGCTCTTCAGCCCAGTCGAGAGGCGATGGCAGAAATGTCTCCCCCAAATCGGACAGGAGCCAAAGTCAAAGTCCTCCCTCTCCCAGGAAAGACGACTCTAAGAGCCACGGAGACAGACCCGGAAGTCCAGGTGAGTCCTCTAGCGCCGGGGACGCACAGGAGGACATTTCTCAGGAGTCACGTCGCGATCAGAAGCTGTGTTTCCATCAGCACATGGAGCCTGTTTACACCTGGTGTTAGTGTCTTCTCTGATCCAATCACAGGTGGACCATTCTAAAGTGTGAACACATTGTGATCTGATCACCCAAACCACTTCCTGAGGTGGTCTGGGACACATTTGACCACACATCTTTTACAGTGTAAACTCTAATGGGTCCTGGTCCACGTTGAAAGACCACCAACAGTGAACTCCTGTGGTTACACACAGAGACAGGACGCACACTTTGACCATCTGTCGCATTATAGCTTTCTTCGTCATCTGTGAGGTGAAAACATCAAACACACAGTTTTTCCACAGTCGGAAAGGCAAAAAGAGTGTGTCCTGCTCATAAAGTTCAGTTCTAAAATCCCAGTGAAACAAAAGAACAGTAAGAATGGACATTGACAGATAAAATGTTGCGTAGGTTACAGCCTTACAGAGCGGGAAAGTGAGATCACAAGTGGTCACTGGAGGCGTGTTTTAATGCCGGGTGTAAACAGGCTCATAGTTTAAAATACTGCATTAGAAAAGGTTCAGTTTTTATCTGGAAAAAGAGTTAATACACTTAATGGGAGATGGTAACACTTAAATTCAGACGTAGAAAACATTTCACTCGTGACTGATGAGCTGCAGTGATGATGTTTAACATGTTCACCATTCTAATTTGTTAATTAGAACTAAATGGAGTAAAGCTGAGTCACTAACGTCATTACATCTGCAGGTGTTTGATGAATGAGCCAAAGTTGTGGACAAATTTCAAATTTGAACCTGATGGTGGTGCTAGAGGAAAAGGATTTATAGTGTGGCTAAAAAAAGTCAGACTGAGGTATAAAGAAAGTCAGCATGCAGTCTGAAATCAATAATTATTAAATAGATACACAGAGCTACAATTAAGTGGGGGGAAAAAAGCATTTGTGTTTTTTGACAGATTTTATTTAATAAGAAATCCTCCTGTTCTAATATCTTGTAGGTAAAAAAGGAAATGCAACTACAAATATCTCCCCGCTGGTTTCCTTCATATGTAAGGTAGGAAACTTTAATAACGTTCTCTTCCTGTTTGTGACGAACTCATGGTCAAACTCCGTAATCTGACATTATTCTTCTTCTTTTCTGCTTTAAACTTTCAACAGATTCACCCAAAGAAAGGAAATTTCTTAGTCCCTCAAGCCGTCGAGCTGGGTTTGCCTGTGTGAGTGGATGTTTAATACAAATCAAAAATAAAACTTATTGATCTCTTAATGAGAATAAGATAAATCTGTTACGGTGCTTTTAATGAATTTACTTTATTCATTGATTGAATTATAGCACATCACAGCATTCATTTGGACATAAAATAAAAACTTGAGGTTGAGGTTCAAATTCAGGCTGCTGTGAAAAAGGTCTATTGCAGTTTTGTGATATTATTATTATTATTATTATTATTATTATTATTATTATTATTGTTATCGAGTTTAAGGTTGAGTTTCTATGGAAATTAGTTTTATTATTATTTTTTCCTCCATAATTTTATGTGATGAAAAAGGTCAAATATAAAGGCACTGAATATCATTTTATATATTATAACTCTTTTTATTATGATTTTTTAATTATATTTATTCTGTATGAACCAGTAATGTAACTGCAACTAACATGTTTGGGCTTTCTTTGTTCTTTTATTTTCTTATTTATTCATATATTTTGATTATTTAAAAAAGAAAATGTTTATTACAATCTTCTGGAGCCCAAAGTTCCTTACTCAGATTATATCATATTATAGATTATATTCAGATGGCTTGTTTTGTCTGAGCAACAAAATTAATTTAAAATATTAAATTTACAGTGATGTAAAACAGCAAAATCTTACATTAGAAAAGCTGGAACCAGCTTGTTTTACAATAATAATGCTGCAGTATTATTAAATGTTTTTTTGTCCACAGAGGTACGGCGGCCATCGGTCCACTCATAGCAGCTTTGAAGGGCGGGAAAAGTATCACGTATAATGGGAAAGAGGTATAAAGACGCTCTTTACTGATAACCTTTGTTATGAAGCCACAACTGTATTTACTGACACTGTCTCTGTTGTGTTGTAGATCCAACCTGAGCAGGTTTGTACCCCCTCTGAACCCGGAGCAGTCTTTATCATCGTCGAGTGTCCGTCTGAGGAGTTCATCGAAGCCGTTTGCACCAATCAGCAGCTAAAAAGGTAGCAGATTGATCATCTGTGACGCTTCTTTATCTGAACAATTGTAAGAAAACGTATTTTAAATTAAGCCTGTCGCCCCCTCTAGCTACCAAACAGGAGGAACAGAGGGCAAGGTTGTGTTGGTGGCCCACATGACTCCAGATTCTGTTTTGAAAACGGATCAATACAAGAAGTGGATGGAAAGGTTTGAGACCAGACTCCATTGAGAATTCAGCTTATTTTAACATTCAGTTTTTAACACACTGAGGACGAGAGCTTTCTCTGCGTTTCTGTAGGTTTCCATCCACAACAGAACACCTGATCCTCAACGAACACGTCCGTTCGGTCCACAACGTCAGAAGTCACAAGATTCAAACACAGCTCAACATGATCCACCCAGAGATCTTTCCACAATTCCGGCCGTACGAAGTCAAGGTAACATTGAGGGTGACGTGTGATGGGAGCACCCTTCTGCTGCTAGGAGGTCTCTCTCATTAAAACAATAACAAAAGATTTGTTTGACGTAGTGAAGTACCGTTGGATCATGGGAGTTGTTGTCTTCGCCACCGTTATTGTCATTTCAGTCAGCTTCTCCCGGTTAGGACTCCTTCATTGTTTTCAGGAGGTTTCTAACGAGTCATGTGCAGAGGTCTCTTCCTCTCTAAAACAAACGGATCTGCTGATTAAAACAAGTAAAAACACTGAATGAAACGTGGACGAGCCCCCATTTGCTATAATCCGCCTCTTAGGCCACAACAAACAGGAAAGTTTAAAACAAAATATATTTTCCTTAAGATCCAGACGTCCGATGATCTTTCATCCAGTTCAAATGTAGAGTTAAAAACCACCAAGATTTAAAAAGATTATGATAAAAATGTGGCTTCAAACAAGATAAAAACAAACATCTCCGGACAAGCTTTTAGTTTTTACGCACTACTGAGATGTAGTGAGCAGAGATGGATGATTTAATATTCCAGAGTTCAGTTGTAACCAAAAATAACTGTTATTAATACAAACCTGTAATTTACCAGCTAATTAATTATCCCAATAATTTAAAATAATGTAACTTTTCCGTTATCGGTTGATAATATATCCGTCCTCATAATTATCGTGCATCCTGAGACAAAACAAGATAATTATAAATGTCACTGTGGAACAATTATCTGACATTTTAACATAAAAATAATGAGAAAATAATCAGTGGATGAATGGATAATGATAATAATCCATTCATCAGTCATCATGTATCTTATGATACTTTCTCACATGTTGGAGTTTACTACAGCACTGACTGCAGAGGCTCTCTCTTTTAAAAGCAGAGTTTACAAAGTGATAACTCAAGTATGGTACCAAAAAAAAAAGGTTATAAGAAAACATCAAAACCACGTTATTTGTGTGTGTGTGTGTGTGTTGTTCCCCAGGAGCCTCAGGCCGCCCTGCCTGTCCCCTGCGTCAAAGCCGAGTGTCTCCTCAAGTTCCAGCTCAGACCCGTAATGGAGTGGCAAAGGTTAGTTTGTCCTTCAATCCCCTAATTTAGCCGACATTACTCTGCAGCTCGGAGCGCTGCCTTGTCACAGAAAACAATCTGGAATGGACCGTTGCACTCAGCCGCCGCCTTCTTCTTTCTTCTTTTTTAACCTCGTCTTACAAGTGTCAGTGTTTTTTCTTCACTGTTTCTGTCAAGTACTGTAGAGGCGCATCAAGGTCAGATGTGAAAAGAATGCCTGTTTTTTTTTTTTTGTTTTTTTTTGTTTTTTTTCTTCCTTCCCCCCCGCCAGTGTTTTGTGCAGGCAGTGGTGTGTGTCTTCTTGACTCTGTGTTTCATTCGTTAGAGATGCCATCCCCTCCTGCAACACTGAGGAGTTTGTAAAAGAGGCTTCTGAGGTCCCAAACTTTCTGGAAGAAGTGGACGAGTGCAAGAAGATTTGCTTCACTGATGCTGCGGAGACTTCTGGTGAGAAAGCCCAGAACAGAACAAAATGTTTCTTTCTTTGAAGTAGAAGGTGTTTAATGTGATACATTCTTTGCATTATCTCATATAAATATTCATTTATATTATTTTATTTCCACTGCAGGGGAAAGAGAAAAATACCCAGAGGTGGTTTTCATGGGAACGGGATCGGCTGTTCCAATGAAGATCAGAAACGTCAGCGGCACTTTAGTTAATATCAGGTATGGATAAGTGGTATAATGATGGGAGTTTTCATTGCTGCTGATATTTAAAAGCCTGGTGACCGATGCATAATACGGTGGGATATATCAGGCAGCAAGTGAACATTTTGTCCTCAAAGTTGATTTGTTAGAAGCAGGAAAAATGGAGCGCTAAAGGCTAAAACACACCGGCGCTGAATACTGTTCCTACCTAATGCTGGTGCACGTTTACAACAGCAGGTGGCGTAGTCCTCTCATTTAGCTGGAAGTGTCCTGAATCTTTCCAACTGTGTTTCAGTTGTTTATTTCTTTCACACTCTGGCTGCACAGTTAATCACAATACTATCGAAATGGCAATTTCTCAGAAACTGCAGTTATTTCTCACACTAATCGCAATCACAGTATCTGTCCAAACAATCGCAATATGAGGTTTTTACCATATCGTGCAGCACTATTTTATACTATTATTGATCGTACTATAAAGCTTAAAATCATATGTGAACAAATTTTTTATTTAAAGTCACCTGAATAGGTGATCTCCAGAGCTGTGACGTGCCAGGTAATGTCTTTTATGCCGTTATAGTTTATAATTTCAGGCGCCGCGATGCTGGAGATAGAACAGTGGCTGAAGATGGACTCGTGATGCCTGTAGAGTTAAGAGGTTAAAACATCCGTGCATTTCGGTGCTGATTTGTGAAAGCTGATAATCATGTGTTCAGTTGAATTACTCCCCAAAAATCCCTTTTTGTGATCATGTGGCTGAAGCAAGAAAGAAAAGTCATTCGGTGTACGTCCAGTAAGTGATTCTGTTCTCTGTTGTAGTCCGAGTCAATCGATCCTGTTGGACTGCGGAGAGGGAACCTTCGGTCAGCTCTGCAGACACTACGGGGACAATGTGGACCAAGTTCTGTCCAAGATCTCGACTGTCTTCATCTCACACATGCACGCTGACCACCACACAGTAAGCAGCAGTTAAGCGTGATCACAGCGTTGCGGTTTAATATATGAAGTACCAGATGGTCTCAGTATGAAGTCAGCTGCTTCCAACCAACCCACTATCCTCATCTTCATCTTGTCTTAGGGGCTCCTCATGTTGCTGTACCAGAGGGAACGAGCACTGGTACGTTTGTTGTTTAGTGTTTGAAAATAAACAGTAAATAATCTGTTATTGAATAAATAAAAGACTTGAATGTTTGTCTCTTAGACTGCGCTGGGAAAGCCGTTCAGCCCCGTCTTCCTGATGGCTCCCAATCAGATCATGATCTGGCTCAGCCGGTATCACAATGACTGTGAGGAGATCCTCGACCATATCAAGTACGTGGGCACACCTTAACATATCAACATAAACCTCACCTGATTATATTAAATATATATATGTAATTGTAATGAGTGTCATTACCATTACAGGCTAACGAGGTTGCAGATGTTTTATTTTGGTGTCTTTTAACGTCTGTTCTCTGTTTCAGCTTCATCTCAAACCACTCTCTGTGTGAAGGCAAAGACAACACAACACAGAACAAGACAGACAACACAGAGATGTTGAAAACGCTTCTAAAGAACAACGATCTGGAAAAGGTCTGCAGCTGAGTTATTGTAGTTTTTCCCCATTTTGTTTTTTAATATTGGTTTTCAATTCAGTTTAGTTTGTAGTGTTCTTATTGTTCTTATTGTTTAAAAAGGTTAAGTTTTTAATTTGTATTAGATTCAGTGTTAGCTTTAGTTTATTTTTATTATAATATGTGGGGTATTTGTCAGAATAGGTAATATAGTACAAATATGATGTAGACATCCTAGTTTCATATCCCCAATGCCTCTAGAAAAAAATAAACTGAAATGACTAGAAGGAAAATACAGGAAAAGTCTAGTTTTTATTTCAGTGAACTAAAATGCTTTTTCACACCTAGTGTAGGTTTAGTTTTAGTTCACTGAAATAAAAATGAGTTTTAGTGAACTATAATAATTATATAGACATTGTTCTGCTCTGTTTTAACTGTGTACTTTTTTAACACAGGACGATGTTGTTTATCAGAGAGTGAAGGCTCTGGGAATATAGTTTGTGTTCAGGTCTTCGAGTTTTAGATTTTATATAATAATCTAAATTTAGCTTTTTACCAAGAAGGCCTTATGAAAGCTTTGACGACCCCCATGTTGGAAAACCACTGAATTTAGGATCTAAACTCCAAAGACCTGAACACCACCTATATTCCCAGAGCCTTCTCTCGTCCTGTGTTAGAACAGTAGTTAAAACAACCAAAGAGCTGATAGAACAATGGCCAAGCTTCAGGGAGGAAAAGCCTATTAAGAATGTATGATTGTTAAAAATATAAAAACACAGAACACAGACAGAGAATGTCAGGAAAACTCGGAACACCAGGAACATTAATCACAGGAAATAATTCATACTAATGGCTCGTTTTACACAAAGTCCATAAAACATGTCAGTCAGTCAGGAGTCGTCAGTTTAGGCGGTGATATAAAGGTTACTCATTGTGTGTGTGTGTGTGTGTGTCAGTTTCAGACGTGCCTAGTGCATCACTGTAGGAACGCCTTCGCCTGCAGCTTCACTCACCATTCAGGCTGGAAACTGGCCTTTTCTGGCGACACCATGCCCTGCGAAGCCTTCGTGCGCATCGGTTAGTGCCACTCAGAATGATTAAAGTCCACATTTCACTCACTGTTCGTCCACACAGACACCGTAGGTAATCGCACATCGAGCGCACGCTTTCAATATCACAGAGATTCATGTGAGGTTGTGCGCGTGTAGCTCGGCTACACGGGTTGTCCTGAATAATTTATCTGATATTTCTTAATGCTCTCGATCACTCTCGCAGCTGGCAGGCTCTTCTAATGGTTCCTGTGGGAGCCCACTTCATTGACTCTTCTTAAATTGCTTGACTGGATTCTGTCCAAGCAAAAGCCTCCCCGAGAACAGAGAGAGTGTATCCCATGACTGTTCATTATAGATGGCTCGGCTCAGCAGACAAAACAGGGCGTGCCGATTCTTGATTACACCGACTACCTGATTGATTTCCTGTGGGACGGGGAGGGGATGGAAGTGCTCGTCTGTGATTACGGCCTCTGATTTGGCTTTTTTTCTTTTTGCAGGAAAGAATGCAACCTTACTAATCCACGAGGCCACGCTGGAAGACGGGCTGGAGGAGGAAGCTAAAGAGAAAAGGCACAGGTGAGGCTTTCTAGAGACAAGCCACATGTTCTTAAATATAATCAAATGTTCTTGTATTGCAGATTATTTCCTGTTAGCATGTTTCTTATAAATTTGTATGATTGTTGACAAATTCAGTGTTTTCTTTTCATTGTTCTCTCAGTCTTTGGTTGTTTTACCTGTGTGGTTTTCTAACGAAGGCGGGTTTGTTTATCAGACAGTGAACGCTCTGTGAATGTATTTTATGTTCAGATCTTTAAAGTTTAGATCTTAAATTATAATCTCAACTTTAAAAATAACAATTTAATTTAGTTTTCTTAGAAATATAGAATCGAAATGAATGAAATGCTGAGATATCGGCAATACTGTCTTTTCTTATAAACCAAGCGGAGGTCTCGACCCCGAGGTTGCTTTACATTATTATTTAAGA